GGTTGATAAAGCATGTACTAAGGATAGGCATGATGCTGTGTGTGTATGAGAGTGTGCTCCTGTGTGGGGCAGGCCATATGGGTCCTGTAAAGAGGTAATAGGCCCAACTACCAACTATTAACCAAATGCAGTTTAAAATTAATTAAAGTCAGACTATCTCATAAATAATGCTACTTTTCAGCCATTCCAGCATCTGCTTGTGGTCCTAAAACAGCTTTAAGAAGCAATATTCTACTCTGCTCAACATAATTGCATAGACCAGTGAAATTGCTCTCTAACTTGTAGTCTGACCTTCATTCAATATGACATTTAATACAGTGCAAGTCCTAGATAGTCTGAGCTTGTGGTTTGAGAGAAATAATATGAATATCAATCTGTGCCTGTGCATTCATTTTTTCCACAGAAGAAACACCCCACTCATCTAGAGAGGTACATGCAACTTACTTCAGCAGCCTTCAAAAGGAAGTCATCCACTGAAGGTTCTTTGGCCTCAACTTCCAAACAAACCAAGCTGTGGGGGACTCAAAGAGTGTCCCAGGCAAGTGTGGATAAAGTAGTCCTCAAATTCATTGTCCAAGGCTTGCACCCACCACACATTGTTCAGCAACAGAGCTTCATTGATCTTGTGCAACATCTTCAGCCAAATATAAATGCCATGACGCGCAATACTGTCGTAAACAAAGTCACAAAGGCCTCTGTTGAAATGAAAATAAAACTGAAAGCTGCCCTTGCTGAAATTGAGTTCATAGCAACAACAACAGACTGCTGGATGGCACACCGTCACGGTTTCACTGGTGTCACTGCACACTGGTTTAACCCCCAGACCTTGCAGAGATCCTGGGCTGCCCTGGCATGCAAGCAACTTAAAGGGTCTTACACCTCTTCTGCTCTGGCTGGTGCCCTTAATGATATTCACACAGATTTCAATATCAGAGAGAAGACTGTTCGCACTACAACTGACAATGAATCAAATTTCCTGAAAGCCTTCAGAGTTTATGGGCAGACTGATGAGGACAACAATCCTGAACCTGTAGGAGAGGGTGATGGAAAAGAAGATGATGGTGACCAAAATGATGATTATGATGAAGAAGAGGAAAGCATTGAGGGTGTTGAATTTGTTGATGCCAGAGCCCTGTTGTACAAAGATGACTACTTGGAATACCAGCTACCCAAACACCACCGCTGGTGGATAATTGAGGATTATTAGGAACACCATACTAATACGGTGTTTGACCCCCTTTTGCCTGCCACCTCCTCAATTTAGTGTCCACAGTTGATGCTTCAAAAGCAGAGGTCAACCCAATGTACAAGCGTGTGTCAAGGTCCACATTTGCCAAATGCTCTAGCCTGTGGAACAAAAGTTCTAGATCAACCACCGCATCTGAAGTAATTGAAGACCACTGCAAACTCCAACTCATAAGGCCTGTTCCTACAAGGTGGAATTCACTCTTCTCAGCTGTAGAAAGAATAGTGAAAATAACAAGAGAACAAGGTGAAGGAGCCCTTGCAGCTGCCTGCAGTGAACTAGATACATGCCTTTCAGTTAATGAAATGATTAACAATAGATTAAGTCATAGTTTTATACTTTGAATGCTGTAGAACACATATATGCACTATGCCAATATGCAGTCCCCATATTTAGGATGTGATTTGTAGCAACACAACTACATTTCTAAAAGTCTCATATGACAATATTTTTCCTTTTTTATTATCAGTTCCTCCAGTTGAAGGTGCTACATCAAGTAGGCTGAATGTTCCATGTTGTGTTTTTCTTTTCTTCTTTGTACAGGTTTACTCCAGTGGAACTTGCATTTCTTGCAGAATATGCAAAGACAATGAGCCCTGTTGCAAAGGCACTTGATGTTCTTCAGGGAGAAACCAGTGTGCAGATGGGATGGTTGGTCCCCACCATAACTCTGCTAAGGACAAAGCTCCAGCAACTTCACATTGCCTCCAAGTTTTGTGAGCCTTTGATTGCTGCACTTCTTTCAGGCCTTGAAAAACGCTTCGGAAAGATGCTTGCTGATCCAGAGCTGATAGCCGCAGCCATTCTAGTTCCCAAATTTAAGACCTGCTGGACAAGTGACGAAAATATCCTCAAACTTGGTAAGTGTCTCACTTCTCAACTTCCCCTTAATACGTGTAATTTCTATGGAGACAGTGAAATGAGTTTGAAATGACATTTAATGACACGCGCACACACAACACTATCCAATACACAATCACAATACTGTCATATAATCTAAATTGTCCTGATTTTTTTTAATCCACAGGCCTTAACTATATCAGATGCCACTTGGAATGTCTGGCTGAGAATCACATCAGTGAGGGCTCCCAGTCATCTGAGGAAGAGGACTTCTTTTCCTCCTTGAAGAAGACCGGCCCTGTTGAAACGACCCAGCAGTTTGATGCGTACCTGGGGTGCCCAGGAGACACAGCAGAGGTCCTGAAGTCCTTCCCAGCTGTGTGCCGCTATCACTTAATACCACAGCTTAATACGGCACCCCCTGCCTCGGCGGCCTGTGAAAGACTGTTTAGTGTTGCGGGGCTGATCTTCAGGCCAAGAAAAGCATGCATTGGCTCAAAGAACTTTGAGAACCAGATACTTTTGCGCCTGAACAAAACCTATTGGTAACACTTTGTTGCATTTGACTGCTTTACTGATGTAGATCCTAATGTAGAAAGTGTTTGTTACATCTTCTAGGTAAATTTGACATTGTTGTGATTAGCTATAGAATTGAGCATAGTACATACCAGGAAGGTATCAATCAGGATTGAGTTTTTATTTACATTATTTGATTAATCACTTGGATTAATCATTCATTTTGACAACACTAATGTCTTCTGTATATAGACAACTATACAAGGGCAATTGTTACTGAGCCTGCTCTGGGTACACCAATTTTCTTGACCAGTTTTGTTATCTGATATCCGTTGCCCTCAAGGATTCCTGCAGCTAAGATTGGATGTACATTTACATTCCAATAAAGGTTATTGATAACATGCCACTGAAGTCTGACTTTTGCACCATTACGATACTTATAGGCAACTAGTCATCATATCTTCCGCTACATGAAACGCATGTTAATGCTCAGTAGTACATGTATATGGTTCTTTAATATATTTGCATTGTACTAAAATGCGTTCATTTTCAATGGGCATATATGCAGCTGAAACAGTTAGCCTAGTGCATCCCAAATTTTTCAACATTAACATTTTAATATATTATAGTAATTATGGCCTTTAGAAAAATGTTTTTTTTTTTTTAAGCTTTTGTCCTTAATGGCATTTTTTGCCCCTTACATTACTTTTACTTTTGTACTTTAAGTAGTTTTGAAACCAGTACTTTTACACTTTCACTTGAGTAAAAAGCTAGAGTTGATACTTCAACTTCTACAGAAGTTTTTTTAAACCCTAGCAATTATACTTCTACCTGAGTAATGAATGTGATTACTTTTGACAGCTCTGGTTTTACTTAAAATTCAGGAGTCAGAGAGACAGTGTGGAAGATTCAAACAATTTGTCATTAATTCAGTTCTGGCAGACGTTAGTGCTGAGCTGTGTTTGTACCACTATAATCCACAGAAAGCTCTGTCAATGGTGACAGCAACGTCCTCCTGGGAGGACATGAAGGAGACACAGCTCCTAGGATGCTCCTGCCCTGCTCACCACTGTGTGCCCTAAGTCTGCTCCTGTTAATATGCAACGCAGGCCAGCTGCTTCTGCTAGTACTACGGAATATATGTGGAATGTCTTGGAACTCGATTCCATTATCATTTATAATATGTATATTAGAAAAGTACACATTCTAAAATTTTAATTGTTTGAAATGTGTAAAAATACATTAAAAAGTATATAGAATCCATGTACATTGTGCGAGTATATAGAATCCATTGTGCTTTTGAATTTTATTTCTTCCGAGTTTCTGAATTTATAGGCAAATAAGCTGACATGTTATATTAAGAAAACTAATTTGATAAAAAGCATCTAAGATGGAGATCCACAGCAATGGCTGTGAACATTATGCCATTAAATATCTTCCAAATGCAAACAGCAGCATCATCCTCTTTGTGATATCAATAAATATGTAAAAGGTAAAAACTTAAAATCAGTCAGAAATGTGTTGTCCTTCTATTCCATTTTTACATCCTAGGTTATATGGATTTCCTTACAAAATAACCAAAGGTAACACATCTGAGCACACCATCACTGAAGAAATGACACCAAAGTAATTAAGACAGCAAATAACTTACACAACTCAATTCAAATAAAGCAATTACAGTAGCATCAAGTCATGTCACACAGCTGATGAGCTCATGATGGACAAAGAACAACTTCTCTAAAGTTGAAGCCTCACACCTGGCACCTCCTGAAGTTACTGCTAATCACATGAACACATAATCTTTGTTACATGTAATAGGGAGACATAATTTGAGGACTGAAAATATGATGATGAACTTTAAAATCCAGATTTATATACTTTCAAAAATTTCTAAACTTCATTGTAAAATTAAAATAAGTACATATGAATACATTTTTTGTCCCATTACTATAAATATCCTGATCCGATTTATATTCGGTTAGGACAACTTAAGCCTACACGTTATTAATAAACTGCTAACATCTTAGCTGTTTTTGGTAAGAAAACAATACAGTATCAGAAGCAGCTTTTAATTTTGAATTTTAATAAGACGTCAATATTTCAGAATATATTAAAGACTTTAACATTGGAAAATTCTGGCCTTTAACATCACATATTAGTGGTGTAATTTTATGTTAAATCTAATAATTTATTTAAATTTAAAATAAAAGATAAACTGCTTATGAACACCTGAGACTTGAACATGGACGTTGATCTTTACACATGACAAAAGAAGGCAGGATGACCTAAACAAGGGTGACTGTGACCAACCTGAGCACCACAGCCAATTACATCAGCGAAACAAATAACAGGCAACCTTTATTTAATCTAACACAGGGTTAGGGTGATGTGCTATCAGTTACCGATAAGGGTCTGGATGGTGTATGGTCAGGAAGCATGAATGATTCCATATAAAAGGTAGCTGGTGTTTACAGCTCCTCGCATCTCAGCTACCATGAGAGCAGTTGTTCTTGCTCTGACTCTAGCCCTTGTGGGTAAGTTAATCACTTATTTGATGGGTTTACATACCTGCAAATTTGCTGAATCAAATGAATGCTACTTTTCAACAAGCACAAAAGCTGAACAAGTTTAATGTAATATTTATGAAGTTTGCACTTGACCACTTGCTTTCAGTTATAGCCAAAAATTGTTTAATTATGAACGGAACTGTACATTTCAGTATTGTTGTGCTAATATTTCACATCATATCTGTTTTCATTTATTGTCACATCAAAGAGAAGGGTTTTAAATTCACCATATTGCTTTTTGTTTTCTAGCGAGTCAGCAGGCTAACCTAAGTAAGCAGACCTCTATCTCATCACTAATATACAATGAGATCTCATTGCCATTTAAGTTTCAAAAATAAGGCATATCCCTAGCAAAAATCCCATCGCTTCCTTTTTGCAGCACCAGACTTCGATAGCAGTAAGACCTATGTCTACAAGTACGAAGCTGTGATCTTGGGTGGTCTACCAGAGGCGGGCCTAGCCAGAGCTGGGGTGAAGATTGTCAGCAAGTTTCTCATTAGTGGCATCACCCAGGACACCTACCTGCTGAAGGTATCTGACTTGGAGTAAAACAAATATTTCTATTAGGAAGAACAAAGTACAAAGATCTATGGGAAGATAATGGGTACAGTGCAGATTAACCTTCTTTCTTCAAGATGATCAGTTTCATGAAGCTTACGTGTTTCCAAAGAGGAGATCTGATATTTGTGTTTTATTTCCAGCTTATGGAACCTCAGCTGTTTCAATACAGTGGCATCTGGCCCAAAGATCAGTTTATTCCTGCTCCAAAGCTGACTCAGGCACTGGCTGACCAGCTGCTGGTTCCCATCAAGTTTGAATACACCAATGGTATGGTGGGAAAGGTGTTTGCCCCTGCCAGAGTCTCTGCAACCGTACTCAACATCCACAGAGGAATCCTCAACATCCTTCAGCTCAATGTAAAAAAGACTCAGAATATTTACAAGTTGCAGGAGGTAAGGCTTCTGTGATTATATCGGGGATTTGTGACGCTGATATGAAGTCTTTAATGCATCATGTCAAACTTTAAATTTCACAGGCTGGGGCTCAGGGAATCTGCAAGACTAACTATGTGATCAGTGAAGACATAAAGGCAGAGCGCATTTATGTGACCAAATCCAAGGATCTGGGCAACTGTCAGGAGAGAGTCATGGCCGACATTGGAATGGCTTACATGCAGTCGTGTGACAAGTGCCAGCTGGTAATGTAAACGTTTACTCCCTTCTCTGGACAACGTACTGATCCCTTTGCAGTGGAGTTCTCATAAGCCTGGCTTCTCTTTACAGAGAGGAAAGAATTTGAGAGGAGTTGCAGCCTACAACTATGTCTTGAAGTCTGCTGACACTGGATCGCTAATCACTGAAGCCACGGTGCAGGAGATACATCAATTCACACCTTTCCACGAGATGACTGGAGCTGGCCAGATGGAAGCGAAGTAATGCATATACATCAAGCATAAAATATCCTGACCAAAAGAGCTGCATATACTATACTGTTAAATGAATATGTTTTGTTTCCTAGACAAACTGTAGTCTTTGTAGAAATCCAGAATGTTCCAGTGCAGCCCATACAAGGTGACTACCTGCACCGCGGATCTCTGCAGTACGAATTTGCCTCTGAGCTTCTCCAGACTCCCATTCAACTCATCAGAATCAACAATGCCCAGAATCAGGTGTTGCAGTCTGTTCCATAAACCTACCATCTCATTTTATTATATTAAATTGTTTTTAAGGAGATATTTGTGCAACATTTCTCAAATACCACAGTCTGAATAAAATCCAGAACTATTTTAAAATAGCCTGCTTTATTTCTGTTTCCAGATTTTGGAGATCTTGAATCACCTGGTCACAAACAACATAGATGAGGTTCATGAAGATGCTCCCCTGAAGTTTGTCCAGCTGGTCCAGCTCCTGCGTGTGGCCAAATCTGACATGATTAATGCCATCTGGGCTCAGGCTAAAGCTAAACCCACTTTCAGGTATGTCTATGGAAAGGCTGCGCAAACAGTACAGTAAGCAAGGATGTAATAATATTTAAGGGGTGCTATATTTCTGTTTGGCCACATAAGGAATAAGCGGCTTTCTTTTTCAGACGTTGGGTCTTGGATGCTGTACCTGCCATTGGAACAGATGCTGCTTTGAGTTTCCTCAAGGAGAAGTTTGTTGCTGATGAGTTGACTGACGCTGAGGCAGCCCAGGCTCTGCTAGCTGCTCTTCACCTAGTGCGCGCTGATTTGGAAACTGTCAAGCTGGCTGCTGTGAGTAACTGATTGGCCCTTTAAATGTACAGCACAACATCAGTGCCAGATAAATAGTAAATGTACATGTTTGTCTTTCTTCTAGACTCTGGCATTTCACCGCAAAATTCAGGAGCACCCCGTTCTGCGGGAGATTGCTATGCTTGGTTATGGTTCTCTGGTGTACAAGTTATGCGTGGCAGAATCTGATTGTTCAGCTGATGTCCTGAAGGTAAAATTACAATAACTGCTTGTCTCCAGTATGTACAGGATGCTTTTATTGCTACCATTCATGGTAATATTCATTTTTTTCCATTCAACAGCCTCTCCACGACATTGCAGCTGATGCTGTCAATAAAGGCGATGTGGCAGATATCGCTTTAGCTCTTAAAGCTCTGGGCAATGCTGGCCATCCTGCCAGCCTCAAGACAATCGTGAAGCTCCTGCCTGGGTTCGGTTCTGCAGCCGCTTCCCTCCCAGTCAAGGTTCAGGTTGATGCTGTGATGGCTTTGAGGAACATTGCCAAGCGGGAACAAAGAAAGGTAAGTGTAGTCAAACATAACTTAAGAAGGACCAGCTGTCATGGTTCAAGTGTGAACTTCAATTAGTATTAGTGATCAATAAGACATCCATTTGTTGATTTGGTCCAGGTACAAGAAACTGCCCTGCAGTTGTTCATGGACTGGAGTGCCCACCCAGAAGTGCGCATGGTCTCCTGCATCGTGCTGTTTGAGACCAAACCTCCTCTTGGTCTAGTAGTTTCCCTAGCTGATTCCCTGCGGAAGGAGCCCAGCCTTCAGTTGGCTAGCTTTGCCTATTCTCACATGAAGGCCCTGACTAGGAGCACCACCCCAGACCTTGCCCCAGTGTAAGAGGACTGCATCACTTCAGCTCTTTACTATAGAGGTGCAGTTCTTGATTTCAGTGTCAGGCTAATTATTCTCTTCATGTTTGCATGTAGTGCCTCTGCTTGTAATGTGGCTGTGAAGATCCTGAGCCCCAAACTGGACAGGTTGAGCTATCGCTTCAGCAAAGCCATTCATCTAGACGTCTATCATTGTAAGGCGTTATTGTACTTGCCTGGAATGTTTTATGACTGATGATTGTGTTGTCATTGCATTTAATTAATGATCGATATATAAAATACCACTTTATCTAATGAGTCCTAAACGGATGATTGTTTTGGAAGCTGACCTGATGGCCGGAGCCGCCGCCAGTGCATTTATCATCAACGACGCCGCCACCATTCTGCCCAGAGCCCTTATAGCCAAAGTCCGTGCCTACATAGTTGGAGCAGTAGCTAATGTTCTGGAGGTGGGAGCAGTTTGCTTAATGTATCTTCCAGTTTTAGGAAAGTTGTGAATTCTTTAGCTGACAAAGCTACTTGTCGGTCTCAGTTTGGCGTGAGGACTGAAGGAATCCAGGAAGCTCTCCTAAAAATGCCAGCTGCCGCACAGGACTCCGACAGGATCACCAGGATGAAGCGCATCCTGCAGGCTGTAGGTGTCAGATTCTGGAGACTTATCATGCAAACTTAAAACTGTCATTATTTCCATTAGGATATTTATAAAATATTATTTTCTTTTTCCCCAAGCTGACAAACTGGAAGTCATTGCCTGTAAACCAGCCACTGGCTTCAATGTATGTGAAACTGTTTGGCCAAGAAATTGCTTTTATCAACATTGACAGAGACCTCATCGAGCAGCTAACACAGGTATCTTGTTAAACAAAATGTTAGTTTATCAAAGTCTTTTTGCTTCTTTTATATTAACCAGCTGTTTGTTTTATTGTCAGGCTGTGACCGTGATGTTTGTCCCTAGAGTTTAAGAATTATACTATATTTAAACTGATTTAGAAAACTAATATAATTATGTGATCTGCTGACACATATAGATGCGAGATGTTGCCTGATAGCTAACTTGTTCCTTGTTGTTGAAGCTTGGAACAGCAGCTGCGGCTCAGCAGTCACAGGTGAAGAACGTGCTCAACACGCTGCAGTCCGGTGCCATGATCCGGTGGGCCAAGCCTCTGCTGGTTGCTGAGGTGCGACGCATCTTCCCGACCTGTGTGGGCGTCCCAATGGAGCTCAGCATGTACACTGCTGCTGTGGCCACAGCCAAAGTTAATGGTGCGTATTACTGCATCCACAGCAGTGAATTCATGATCCTGTTTGTTTCCATTTACTGACTATTGGCTACTAATTTATTATTAATATTTATACTTACAGCCCAGGCTGCTCTGACACCTCGGCCCGCTGAAAACTTTCACGTTGCTCAACTGCTGAACACCAAGATTCAACTGCAGGCCCACATCACACCAAGGTAAAAAAAATAGACGATTTTAAAGCACAGAAAATTTGACTTTTAACCTACAGGGTTTAAAAAGTTCTAAACTGTGTCTTTCTTACACAGCGTCGCCATACACACCTTCGCAGTCATGGGCGTGAACACAGCCCTGGTTCAAGCGGCAATAATGGCCAAAGCAGAGGCACGTGTTGTGACCCCTCTGAAATTCAGCGTTAGAGCCGACGTCTCTCAAGGCTATTTCAGTGTTAACGCTCTGCCCGTTCCAGCTGTAGATAACATCACAGTTGTGCGGTAAGTCTTATTGTGTTGAAAAGAAACATCATGGCAAGTAGCAAATGAAAATTAAACCTACCTAAAGGTGTTGATTTCTGATAACATAATCCCCAGCTTCACCTTTTGTTTTTAACAGCGTTGAGGCTTTGGCATTGGCAAGAAATATTGAAAACCTTGAAGAAGCGAGAATAATACCAATGTTACCTGCAGCTTTGGCAGCACGATTGTCAAGGGAGAAGTTCACATCTAACGTGGAAGCTATCACAGAGAGTGACTCAGTAAGCTAACAAAAAACATCTGTGCATACAAAGTATCTAAGCAAATAAACTGCGGACAATGCTGTTGTTATTTACTTGTGTGATGATACCTTGTTCTGCTCTTTTTAAATTCTACAGTCCAATTCTTCAGAAATCATTGATGCTGATGTGCACATCAACACCCGTGAGAACAAGGCTTCAGTTTCAGCCAGAGTTAACCAGCAGCTGTGTGCCACATTGACAAGCTTAGGAGTGCAAACTTGTGCTAAAATTGTCTCTCAGAATGCTGGCTTTCTCAGAAACTCCCCCCTCTATAAGCTTGTCGGAGAACATGAAGTGATTGTAGCTGTGAAACCCGGTATGTTGCCTTAAATGTTGCTGCACTTAAGTAAGGAGAACAACATCACACTCTAGAAACTGTACTTTGAGTGATAAAAAAATTAAGTCGGTTGAATTCCAATTTCTATAGCTGATGGTGAGGCCTTTGAGAAGATAGAGGTTGAAATTCAAGCTGGACCCAAGGCTGCATCAAAGATCATTAAACAGGTCACTCTGAAAGAGGATGAGGAAACTGCAGAAGGAACTCCTGTTGTATTGAAACTGAAAAAAATCCTGGAACCTGAAAGGGTGTGTAAATTTGATGTCTTGGATCCTAAGGATTCTTTATTTATTCTTTATTGACTGGCAGGTGATTAGTTCTTAATGAATGTTGGAAGTTTTACTCAGAATTGATCTTTGTCCAACTACAGCGGAAGAGGAATTCCACCAGCTCCAGCAGCTCCAGCAGTCGCAGCTCTAGCTCTTCCTCCAGCTCCTCCTCATCTGCCACTTCAGAAAAGAGTGGCAAACACCCAATGCAGGAAAAGAACAACAGGCAGGATAAAAGGAGTAGCAGCAGAAGCAGCAGCAGCAGCAGTAGTAGCAGAAGCAGCAGCAGCAGTAGCAGTAGCAGCAGCAGCAGTAGCAGTAGCAGTAGCAGCAGCAGTAGCAGCAGCAGTAGGAAAAGCAGAAGGTCCCCCTCTACCTCTAAGAAGATTAAAGACAATGCTGGGGATTCCAGCAGCTCTTCCAGCAGCCATTCTTCCAGCTCCAGTGAATCCGAGGTAATGACTTCCTCCCATTTGCCGCTCAAAAACTCAATCACATAAAACTCAATCACAACACTTCTTTTCAACAGGAAGAAATATTTGCCAAGTTCACAAAGAATCACATCCATCAGGTAAATGTTACATATTGAAAATAAGCTCTTTTGATGGGAAACCAAAAATCCCCATTGTTCGTGAATTGATTCTGAAGAATTCCTTTGCCTTTCATACAGCATGGTAACTCCAGAGCCGCTTCCCAGGCTCGGGCCTCTGCTGGTGCCAGGAGCAGCAGTCAAAGCAGTGCCTCCAGCTTTGAAGCTATTTACAAGAAGGTAGGAACACACCACTATTCTTAGAACTGTAAAACCATAGGATGATCACATCATCGGGTCATCACAATGGACACGTCCCAAACTGGCCACCTGCACCATTCTTGTTATCAGTCACGATTCCTTGGAGACTCCATGCCCCCTGCCATCGTGGTCATTGTTCGTGCAGTGAGGACCAACGGAACAATGGAGGGATACCAGGCAGCCGCCTACATAGACAATGCTAATGCCAGGCTGCAGGTCATCGTGGCTGCTCTCGAAGAGAATGACAACTGGAAGATGTGTGCTGACGGTATCATGTTGAGCAAACACAAAGTCATGGTGAGGCTTCACACCATAAGAAGGAAGCATGACCGAAGTAGGCAGCCCAGATGGTTTTGCAAAATAAAAATCCCATCATTTCTAACTAGGCTAAGGTTGGTTGGGGAGAAGAATGTCAGCGGTACACAGCAGTTATCAAGGCAGAGGCTGGTCGTCTGGACACAGACCCGGCAGCCCAGCTGAAGATAGAATGGGACAAGATTCCTCGTAAAGTTAAGAGCTACTCAAAGATGTAACGTCACTCGCCTCAACTATATTGTTTATTGACAGTTTTATATATTTTAAAAAATCACTCAAGCTCCTACTTTTCCTCAACTTTCATACAGGATTTCTCAGTACATCCCTGGTGCTGCTTTGATGGCTGGATTAAGTCAGAGAAGACAAAACAATCGTGAGGGGCAAATTAAGATCACTGTGGCTGCAACTTCTGCCAGGACCATAAATGTTATCATTAAAACACCAAGGGTAAATGGCATACACACACCTCTCTGTCAGAATGAATGGCAGGGGCTGAAGCTGGAGTACTGATTATATGTATGTGGTATCATAGATGACACTGTACAAGCTGGGTGTGGCTGTTCCCATTTCTCTGCCTATTGGACAAGACACTGCTGGAAGGCAAGAAGGAAGCATTTCTGGCCAGATTCACAACATGCTGTATGAAGCTACAGCAGGTTAGTAGAGCAAAGATGAAGCATTTTGATGCTCATAGCTGACTGTGTTTTGTGCATAACAAAAATGTCATTTTTGCATTCTCTGAAGATTTTACTGTGAACTATATGATTTGTGTAATTACTGTGGAACATTTTTTCCTTGATCCTTTTAGCCAAGTGCAGTATGACCAGTGAAACCTTGACCACATTCAACAACAGAAGGTACAGAAATGAAATGCCCATCTCCTGCTACCACATCCTGGCTCAAGACTGCACTCCTGAGCTGAAGTTTATGGTTCTGATGAAGAAGGACCGTGCCACAGAAGCAAAACATGTTACTGTCAAGCTGGCTGACATGTTAGTACAACCGACCTCCATTCCATTTTTACGTGACATGACACAAGGCTATCTGTTAAGCGGTCTTGCACTTCAATTTCAGAGATGTCGACCTCTACCCACGTGATGGAGAAGTGCAGCTGGTAGTGAATGGAATGCAAGTTTCTGCTCTCAACCTCCCGTATGAACACCCTACAGGTGCCTGATCACCCAGAAATGCTGCGCCACTTTGGAGAAAATGCCTATAGAATTGATTTTTTAAGTAGAATCGCATCTGCCTATCAAGTTTCAAAAAGAACATTTCCTTTTTCTTTTGTTCTACAAATAGCATCCATCAGAATCAACCAAAATGGCAATGGCCTGTCCTTGTATGCTGCCAGCCATGGTCTACATGAGGTCTACTTTGACAAAAACACATGGAAGGTAAATTCAGCCCATTCAAAACTTGCCATCCATTTATTTTCCATATGAATTATCCAGTAGAGTCACTGATAGTCTTGCGCATATCCTGAAGTAACATCAGGCAAAGGACATAGAACAAATTGGAACAAATATCTAATTTACCAAATTAAGTTTTATTAAATTTTCTTCAGGTTCAAGTTGTTGACTGGATGAAGGGCAAAACTTGTGGAATCTGTGGAAAGGCTGATGGTGAAGTAAGACAGGAGTTATACACACCAAATGGACGCCTGACCAAGAACTCAGTCAGCTTTGCCCACTCCTGGGTCCTTCCCACAGAAAGCTGCCGTGATGCCAACGGTGAATTCCTACTCCAAAAAACTGCTTCTACCTCTTCCAGCACAGGTTTCTGATGCAAATCTCTCTCCAACGTAGAATGCCAGATCAAGCTGGAGTCAGTGAAGCTGGAGAAGCAGATGATACTTGCGGGACAGGAGTCGAAATGCTACTCTGTTGAGCCTGTGCTACAGTGTCTGCCTGGCTGCTACCCAATAAGGTCCACCTCTGTCAATGTTGGATTCCACTGCATTCCTGTCGGTGAGTTTACCTACCAAACCATAGACAGAAATGAAGCAAGGGGTAAATAATGACACTGGGAATAGAGTTGTACCAAAATATTTGTAGATTTGGTCTGTTAAGTGGTATAAGAATCCTTCAATATCACTTGAGCAGACAAATGTGTTCATGCTGTTGCATCAGATTTCTTGAATTTAATTTTGTCACAACAGATTCAACCATGAACAGTTTAAACAGCATTTCGGAGGACAGCGAAGACCTCAGAGAGATCATCGATGCCCATACTGCTTGTCATTGTACCAAACACTGTGCTTAGGAGCTGTAACTACCAGCAAAATACAATCTTTTTCAATTGTAATTTTTTTGTCATGTATTGTACAGTATGTGTACCTGGTGTAATTATAAATAAATTGTAAGGGAACATTCACAGACATGGTTTTGATTTTATTTTTAAACACTAATTACATGTATCTTCTAGTCACTTATCCAGGTCACTTATCGGGGGGGGGGGGGGGGGGAGCACTACTGAAAAAATGCAGACATCAGACCAAATTTGCACGTATCCTCTTCTTAGTATTATATTGTTGTTTTTGTTGTTGTTGCTTTGTTTAGTAATTTATGAGTAAAACTGAGGAGACTGTAATGTCCGCTTCATCACTAGCTATGATTTCATGGAAATCATTTAAACCCCTTAAGATAATTTTAAAGTTTCCTTACCTACAGTGAGGGACATAATTATTTGACCCCCCCTGCTGAACTCTTAAGTTGACCCATTAACAAAGAAATGAGAGGCCTGTAATTTCACTGGTAGGTTTATTTTAACAACAAGAGTTATCAAAAGATTATCAACAAAACCAGCAAGAAAAAATCATCATGTAACAGTTACAAACCTATTTGTTATTTATCTTGGGGAATTAAGTATTTGATCCGTTGGAACAAATACTTACTTTAGTACTTGGTGGAGTAACCATTGCTGGCAGACATTTCTTGCAGCTGGTCACCAAGTTTGCACACAGCTCAGCAAGAATTTTCATCCAATCTTTTTAGTGGATCTCCTTCAAATCTTTAAGGTTTTTAGGCTGTCACTTGGATACATGAAGCTTGAGTTCCCTCCATAGGTTTTATATGGGATTAAGGTTGATAGATTGGCTAGGGCACTGCATGACCTTAATGTGCTTCTTCTTGAACCACTTTGCTTCCTTGGCTATATGCTTAGGGTTGTTGTCTTACTGGACAACCACCCGCAATGTATTTTCAGTGCCCTGTCAGAAGGAAGGGGGTTCTCACCCAAGAGTTGCTTGACCTGGAGGCTGCTGGGATTGCTGCACTGCATGGGAGTGGTGTAGATGATGTGTGCACTTGTGCTGTGTTGTGCTGTGTGCTTGTTGAAGCGGTTGATTGAAATTATTTGGAGGTATATTTGAGTGATTGTGTGCCAGTATGGTTACGTGGGTGGTTGTTGTTACATTTTTTTTTCCGGTCGGCATGAATGCTTGTCTGTCTTTGTTAATAAACAGCGCGAATGTTATCGACAGCTGCGGGTGTTGCTTGAGCGGCGTTTCTGTCCGCGTACCTTTGCTACAAACACCCATGGAGGTAATAGCTAATATCGGTGACATTAACTTGGAAAAGAACAGTTGCTCCTGAGCTTTGCTTGGTCACCAGTTGGGACCTGGAGGACATTTTCCACTTTTTTCCCCGATCTGGCAGTAGTCTGCTTTGAGAGGGTTTTTGTGGTTTTCGTGGTTAAAGCGAAGAGCAACTTCGCTTTATTTCAGTTAAACGTCGTTCAGTAGAAAGTTATTCTCAGGTAAGTAATTGTTAATTTGGTTATTTTAAAAGTTTAATTTTTAATTAAATCACGTAAAAGTTAAATACGCTATATAAATATACTGGGCTAGGAGTAAAGGATGGGGTCATAATGAGCTAGTTAATTATGGGGCCAGCTCAGTGTTGTGTTTGCAAGATGTTTGCCCTTTTGGATGTTTGTGTGCAGTCAGACTTCATCTGTGAGCGATGTAAATTAGTGGACTCACTCATTGTCAAGGTTCGTGACCTTGAGGAGCAATTGGCTCTCATCCAACATAACAAGGAGTTAGAGGAGAGAGTTAATACATCTTTGAGGGAGACAGTGTGTACGTCACAAGCGGGGAGGAGGATGAATGAAGAACAGATAGGTTGAGAGAACTGGGTGAACGTGGGTCATAGACGTAGAAAAGGGCGTACACAGTTTACAGAGGTGGCATCACCTGAAGTGACTGTGTCTAACCGCTTTCAGGTGCTTCCAGGTTTAGAGCCGGAAGAGACTGAGGAGGCAGGAGGGTCCTTGGGCACTGAGGAGCCCCCTCCCCACAGGAAGAGGGAGGTTGTGGTAGTAGGGGATTCAATTATTAGAGATATAGACAGTTACGTGTGCACTCGTGACAGAGGGTCCTGTATGGTGTCTTGCCTGCCTGGTGCCCAGGTGGGGGACCTTCCGAATCGTGCGCACAAGATTTTGACACCAGCCGGGGTGGATCCAGTGGTCGTGGTGCATGTTGGCACCAACGACATAGGAAAGGGCTAGAGGGCTGTTCTGCAGGATAAATTTATAGAAGTCGCTGATAATCTTGGAAGCAGAACGTCCACGGTGGTGTTCTCTGGAATATTTCCCGTGCCATGTGCAAACCAGGCTAAGTTAGCTGAGATAAAGAGATTAAACATGTGGCTAAAAGGGTGGTGTAGGAAAGAGGGGTTTAGGTTTATGGGGCACTGGAGGACCTTCTGGAACAGGTGGGACCTGTTCAAGCTGGATGGGTTGCACCTGAACCAGAGGGGAACCAATGTGTTGGGGAGGCATATGTGTAGAGTAGTTGAGAAATGTTTAAACTAGGGATTTGGGGGGGGGGCGGGCTGGGAGGTTAGTTATGAATATAGGAGGGGGGAGACGGAAAGCCCCAATTAATATTAAAAGTGGGCACTGTAAAAGGCCTACCCTTTGCAGTCTGTACTTAAACGCTAGGAGTATTAGAAACAAAATTCATGATTTAGAAGTTTTAATTTCATCAGACTCTTACGACATTATAGGAATAACAGAAACAATGATGGAGAACAATATAATATGGATGGTTGCATGTTGTTCCGTAGAGACTGGATGAGGGTGAGAGGTGGTGTCGCAGTATACATAAAAGAAAACTTGCAGGCAAGGGAGCTCACTGATAAAAATAAAAGTACAGAAGCTGTATGGGTAAAACTAGATGCTAAAACTCAAATGGCCTAATTGTCTGTGTTAGTTATATAGCACCTAATGTAGCTGCAGAGGAAAGTATAATGTTATATGATGATATCAGGATTATGAGTAATAAAAATGATGTGGTGGTTATGGGTGATTTTAATTTACCTAGGATTTAGTCTCTGGCTTTTCTATAAATGAACTTGAGATGGTGGAATTAGTACAGGATTGCTTTTTTACTCAGTTTAATACCCCTACCAGGGGAGAAGCCCTTCGTGATCTTGTTTTCCTACCAACCAGGATAGAATTGGAAAATTTGAGGCTTTACAACCACTGGACGGTAATGATCACAACATGATTTAATTTGAGGTTAATTTTAGTGTCAAAAGAGCAAAGTCCAAAACAAAAATATACAATGTTAGGAAGGCTAACTTTAATGGAATGAGACTGAAACTAGATACTGTAAACTGGATGGAGTTAAACAGCAAAACTGTTGAAGAGGCATGGGAATTTTTTAAAAGCACGTTGTTGCAAGTGCAAGAGGACTTCATACCTGTTTCCAGCAAAACTAAATATAGGAAATTGCAGCCAAGGTGGTTTACTATGGAAATTACGAAAAGTCAGGAGGAAAAGGGTTCTCTTCCACAAATGGAAATTAACTAATGATTTCAAAATAAATCAGAAGTATCTAAGTCTACAGGTTGTGTTAAAAAATAACATTAGACTCGCTAAGAGGAATGTACAAAGGAAGACTGCATTGGAGGCTAAGGATGACATTAAAAGTTTCTTTTAATATTTTACCTCCAAAAGAGCTCTAAAAGCTGAAATCACTAATCTGCAGGATAGTAAGGGTACTATAAATGAAAATTAATTTGATATAGTAAATAAGTTTAATGATTATTTTACACAGGTGTGCACAGTAGAGAACACAACTAACTTGCCACCATTTAGTACAAATACAACGTTGTCTATGACCAATATATGTATAGCTGAGGCTGATGTGGTACAAAGCCTAGCTAAGGTCAAAATAAATTAATTGCAGGGCCCTAATGCCATCTTACCTATTGTTTAAAAAGATATGATGGATATTATTAGGCAACCTCTTTACTATTTCAGAAATCCTTATCCACTGGTGTGGTACCTTCTGATTGGAAGCATGCTAATATAACACCCATATTCAAAAAAGGGGATAGAAGTAATCCAGCAAACTATAGGCCAATCAGTTTAACTTGCATAATTGGAAAAGTGATGGAAGCTATAAGTGATATAAGTGATAATGGTAGATTACCTGGACTCAAATAACATTTTGAGGGATAGCCAGCATGGATTTAGGAGAGGTAGATCCTGTTTAACTAATCTACTTGAGTTCTTTGAGGAAGCTACAAAGGAAATTGATCACAAAAAAGCCCTACGACGTGATCTACTTAGATTTCCAGAAGGCCTTTGATGTTGTCCCCCACAAACGGCTCTTGCTTAAGCTCAGAGCTTCAGGGATTTTAGGAACTGTAGCAGCTAGGATTGGAAACTGGTTAACAGACAGGAAGCAGCAAGTAGTTATTAGAGGCACAATATCACAGTGGGCCTGCCTTCATAGTGGGGTACCGCAGGGTTCAATTTTAGGACCACTATTGTTCCTAATTTACATTAATGATATTGACACCAATACATACAGTAAACTGGTTAAATTTGCAAACGACACCAAGGTGGGTGGTGTAGCAGTTACTAAACTAGCAACACAGAGGCTACAGTGGGATCTTGATTTAATTAGAAACTGGGCTGATATCAGGCAGATGAAATTTAACATAGATAAATGTAAGGTAATCCATGAAGGGAGCAGAAATATAAAATACAGATATTTTATGGGTTCCACTGAAATAAAGGTAGCTGATTATGAGAAACACCTCAATGTGTATGTTGATGCTTCCATGTCCCAATCTCGCCAGTGTGGGGAAGCAATTATAAAGGCTAATAGGATGTTGAGTTACATCTCTAGGTGTGTGGAGTTTAAGTCAAGGGAGGTGATGCTATGATTATACAATTCCTTGGTAAGACCCCACCTAGAATATTGTGTGCAGATTTAGTCACCATACCTTAAAAAAGCCTTGGAACCTTGGAAAAGGTTCAACGTAGGGCTACAAAAAATATTCCCGGTCTTAGAGGAATGTCTTATGAGGAGAGGTTAGCTGAGCT